GGCAGCAGGAGGAGACCTGTGCCCCTACCTCACCTGCTGGTTTGTCTTTAAGTTGCCCATAGTGTAGCCCCAGCTCTGTCCTTAGCACCTGTGCTAAGAGGCTGTAAATAGCCTGAGCCCAAACTTGCAGAAGGAGCTGCTAGCTCTGAGCCCTCCCTAGCTATAGAGACCTGGTAATGAGTGTGTTCTTAAATCCAACCCTTCCCTCCCCTTGTTTTGCCCGTTTTTATTTTGCTGAATAGAAACAAAACATAAAGCCATGAGATGTATAATCCCCAGGTGAGCAGAGCTCAGCTAACTGCCCTGGAGGCAGCCCTGGCTCAGCCTCTTACCTTGTGGAGAGACCTGAGTGCCTGTCACAGCTTGTCCTCAACCAGAGCACCACGGGGGCACTGGGAGGGCTGGGCAGGATGCTGTGCAGTACCAGCACTGGGAGAGGTTGTACAGGAGAGGACAGTGCCTACAGTGCAGGATTTCTTGGCTATGTGGACACAACCTGCAAAAGCAGCACTGTGCTCTTGCCAGGGTCTCTTGACACTGTGCAGGTGGTGAGTGCCTTGGGGAATGTGTTGTGCCACATCCAGAGGTGGCACTGGGAGCCACGTTTAGCTCTGGTACTCCTGTTCCTGCTCTGGGTTTATTTTTGGTGCCTCCTTCAGGGCTGTCTCCTGCCTGCTGTGGCGTTTTGGGGCTACAGAGAACAGAGCCACTTGTGAGCAGAGCCACTTTGCTGTGTGGTTTGGATTAGAGCAACAGCAGAGAGTTAGGACAGAGACAACTGCCAGAAGCTTTGAGTATTTTACCATTGTCCAGCGAGTGAAAGTGATTTTTCAGTGTGACTAAATTCTTTACCATTTCCTGTACTCCAAATCCCTCATCAGGCAGTGACTGGTGATTGCTGCTTGGGTTGGGCTGGATTAAAGACATCCTAAATGGATTAAAGACATCCTAAAGTCTTGTTTGAACACAGCAGGAGGTGTACAGCATGAGCAAATAAAGAGAGAACCTTTGCAAGAAGTGGTTCACGAAGGCAATGGTTTTATTGGTGTTTTGTTTAACACGCTGAATTAACACCCACATATCTCCATTGTTTTATTCCTGCCCTCCGTGTGCCAGATGAAGTGCTTCTCACAGTTACTTTCAGGTCCTGGGAGAGGCAAATATGTTAGGAATTTAAATAAATACAACAGCAGCAGCAGATGGAGCTTGGAATTAGGAAAGCTGGAGAGGGATGGGGGGAAGAAGGAGATAGAGAAGGATATAACATGTATCATTCCTAAATGTTACCAACTTCTCCATGAGTATCTGCTCGACACAAGCTTGAACAGCAGGTGGTGGAGGGATATGAGCTGTGATTGCAAGTGGCTTCACAATGACCAGTTTATCGTGTTGACTCTAATTAAACCCTGAATAGATCATGCCTGAAAACAAGCTGGATTTGCTCTCCCTCCTTCTAAGGTGTTATTCCACAAACTCTTTCAGGAAAGCCCAAGGTGTATCAAGGTGTTAGAGTGAAGATTACAGTCAAGGAGTTACTGCAGCAGAGAAGAGCAAGACAAGCAGCAACTCAGTAAGTAACTATATTTTCTTGTTTGCTTTGTCTCTTCCCTCTCAATCTCTTTTTTTTGCCAAGACTATAACCCCTGGGCCAAGGAGATTGCTGAATTCTGAGTGTAGGAGGCTGGTGAGGATGGGGGAGAACAACATTCAGCCAGGGGAACTGCAGTGATCCAAAGGGGTGAGATCTGAGCCTGTGTGCAGGGAGAAAGCAGAGCTGGTGCTGCAGAAACATTTCTCCCTGCAGGATGGGAAACTCACCTGTGCAGCCCCATCCCTTACAAAGGAGGGGCTGGGGATCTGTGTGTACACACACACACGTGTAGCCCCATCCTTTGCAAAGGAGGGGTTAGGGATCTGTGTGTACACACACACACGTGCACACTCACTCTTCCAGCCTTTGTAGGAGGCCTCTAGCTCCAGCCACTCCAGGGATTTGCCTACAGAGGTTGGTAAATCATTATTTCTTCCTGGTTCATGACACCAGAGCTCTGGAAAGCTTTCAGATTTCAGCTCCCACCTCCTGCCCCTTGTTGCAGCTGACTGCACACAGAGCTGCTCAGTCCCAGGGTGAGCAGTGCACAGAGCTGTGGGAACACTGGGTCACTCCTCCCCTGCAGCCTGACAGCAGCACCTCTTCAGCACAGCCAGGTGGGCTGTGTGCAACTGGGGTTTGCTTCCCACCACCAGTTTACACAACACCTCTAGTGCCCACACAGGAAAAAGGGCCAAGTGGCAGTGCAGGAGGTTCCCCTGGTGACCTGCACAAGGTATGTACTGGTCTGGAGAGGCTCCAGAGGTTAAGGCTGCACTGAGAAAAGCTCAAGCTGAAGATTTCAGCTCAATCTGCAGGCAGAAAAAAGAGGGATAGTCACTCCTGCAGACACTCTCAGCCTGGAGCAGCCACTGCTTAATGAATTAAAGGCATGGGATGTGCTAGGAAGTTGTTGCTAGGGAAATGAGCCACGAACTCAAGAGCATTTTGAATAAAGGAAATGAAGTGGAGGTCTGTATGAATTAAGCTGAGGGGGGAAAAAAAGTCAACTAGGGTTTGTATTTGCAGATAAAATCCTGGTCCCAAACAACAAATATCAACACTCCTGGTGGATGTTGAAATCCGTCTGGGATGGATTTCTCCCTTCCAGCAGCTCAGGTTCCTTGGACAGGATGATCTGTCCACCCCATACTCCAAAATCCTTTCAAAATGAGGCTGTCCCTGTGCACAGAGCTGTGTTGGAATGGGAAGCAGAGCTCCTTCTCAAAGGACATCAACAGCCAGCACAGCAAGCCAGCCATGAGGATCCCTGCAATTGTCTTTGGTTAATTACTCCTTCTCCATAATATTCATCCCTGTGAGTTCTTTGGGATCACTCCACTGTGGAATTCCTTGTCTGTTAATTTCCAGGACATTAGGCTGTGGAGTTAGTAGAGCAGCAGAAGGAGCACACCAGGATGGTGCTGCTTCAAGGGCTTTACACCAGGTTGGTTTGTGCTTCTCCAGGCTTGTTAACAGGCTCAGGGAAAAAATCATGTTAAGCACATTAATCTCATGTTCTGTCAGTGCTAAGGAAGTTTTCCAAGTCACAGCAAGGAGGGAAATAAGGTTCAGAGAAACAGGTTGAAAATCCAGCCTTACCTTCCTCTCCCCTGTGGTACAGTTTTCTTGCCTTCTCTTTGCTCAGGTTTCCTGGGGCAGCAGCAGCATCCAGTTTGCAGAGTCTGTGTCTCCACCTCACCCAGGTTGGTACAAAGCTCATCCACATGTCCCTTCCCAATTTTTCCCACAGCCCAGAGGCTGAGGCACCTCCAGATAACCAGCACTGCAGCCAATCAGCACCTCAAAGGAGCCCAGGAGATGCAGATGAGGCACATATTACCCCACTCAGGAGCACTCTCACATTCTCTCATGTGTGCAGTTAATTTTTCCCACAGCAAGGAGCTCATCCCCTTCAGCAAGGGATGCCCATCCCTAGGGAATAACCCTGCTGGCATCACCTTCTCCAGGCTGTGGATCCCAGAGGGTCAGATTGCCCTGCAGGACTTTGCTGAGCTCCAGTTCTGTTCTCACTCTCCTGGCAGCATCCATAGGAGTGAGAGGACTGTCACGTTCTCAGCAACACAAAGACTTTCCTCCTCCTGCATGTAAATATCCAAGGAAAGGGGGAAGGGGTGGGGGAATAGCACCTTGGGCTCCCAGATCCTTCCATTATTCCCCAGCCAAAGCACAGGGCCCAAAAAGGTTGGGCAGGTGTGAATGTACACACTGCATGGACAAGGAAGTAATTCAGTCATCAATATTTGGGAATCAAATTGCTCATGTTAAGAAAGAAACATGAGCTATAACAAAGGTTTTTTTCCAGGCTGGAAAGTCTCCATCAGTTCATGTATTTTGGGTTCTTCTCACTTCCTCCCCATGTCCAGCTAGACATTGTCACCTTGAACCTGCAATGGGCAGTTCCAGTGCCTTCAGACCTGTGGCCATGGCTTTGTTTTGAACCACATTTGAACACAGGATGAAAAGATAATCATTCTGGAAAGCCAGAGCTGCTCTGAGCTTTCTAGGAACTCAGTAACACCATGTGGAATCAGTCCCTGAATTGCTCCATTTGTTCTGCTCAGAAGTTTGTCTCCTGTTTGCAGGATAAAAGAGGGAATTACCCTCCTGTTTTCACCTTCTTCCTGCAGATGCAGCCACTCTGCATCTGGTGGTGGGTGAGGCAAAGGCACAACCATCTGCCAGGCTGGGAAGCATAAATCAGTGCATGGCAAAGCTGTTAGGGCTGTAAACAGTTGATATTTGAGGGAGGCCACAGGGTCAAGAGTCTGAGGGAGTTTCCAGCTGGATTCCTATCCACAAATCCTGGGACCAGAAGAGTTTCTGGCAGTGTTTGAAGAGCTTCTTTCCAAGGGGACTGAAGTTCCCCTAGTTATTCACATGCTTCTGAGCAGCTTCCTCCTGATTTTTCCTCCCTAGAAAATTCACTCTGAACTTGAAGGACCTTCTCCTTTGTCTCAATCCATAGGGCTACTGAACATAAGGGAGTATTGAGACCTGACCTGGGGCAAACCTGCCCTTTGTGAAGACAGGCACTGATTAATCTGCCACTGTCTGGTTTCCCTTATCTTCCAGCACCTCTTGAAGCAGAACCCATTCCTTCTGTCCCCAACTGCTGCCCATCCTGGCAGTTTCCCAACTGCCTCTCCTGTGAAGAAAGCCCCAGCTATCTGGAGCAGCTCCTAGATTCCTGTCTGCAGTCAGATGCAGCCTCAGATCCTGCCTTCAGTGCTTTCCAGCCATCCTCACACTACAGCTCAGACACCTTCCAGCCAGTCTCTCTCTGCTTTAACCAGGGCATGGTAAGCTTTGAGTCCAGGGGAGCAGCCACAGGGGGAAGGTGGGGAAGGGAGTCACATCCTGGGGCAGAACAGCAGCAAAGCAATTTGGGAATCTGGCTGGTTTTAGAGGCCACAGGCTGCTTGGGTGGGCTCTGCATGGTTTTCCAGCAGGAGCAGAGGACAGGGAGGCTCAGCCAGGCTGAGAGGCTGCAGAACAGGGAATGTTCCCTCTTGAGGTCCAGCAGATTTTCAGCCCAGTTCCTGCCAACTCACAGAGAAGATTATTAACACATCAACTGCCCCTTGGGTTTGGACCTCCATCTCCCTGGGTAGCCAAGCCCTCCTGAGAAAGGCAACGGCATGGAAATTCGGGCTGCTGTCCACATTTCCCAACTAGCACCCTAAAATATTCTTTTTTTTCCCCCCTTTTTCTCTCTGTCTCCCTCTCTCACTGCAGGCTGCCAGCTCTCCCAGCTCAGCTGACCTGCCCAGCCCATTGAACTCCAGTTGCTCTCCTCCTCAGCTGTCTCCTCTGACCCCACTGCCCCCAAGTCCTCCCTCTGCCCTGGACACCACAAGCTACAGCTGCCCCATGGAGGAATGGGCCTGCCTTGCCCCCTGCCCCTTTCCCAGCCCTTCCTGCTGCTGCACAGCCTGTGTCTCCCAGCACATGGACAGCAGGGGCCCACAGTACTTCCCCTGCCCCAGCACGGACTGCATGGACTACCTGCCCCCCCTGGCCATGGCTGATGATTTCTTCCGAAGGGATAGGAGCTGTGACATCTGCTACAGCTAATGAGGCTGTGGTTTGCCACCTCCACTGCATCCAAATCAGATTAAGTGCCCATGAACTATGCAAAGTTGTGCTGCCTAACACACTCCAGTTTGTTCTTCACTACTCACACCTTCTTCACACGATGCTGTCACTACATTAACCCTCTTGTCTTGTATGGTCAGGAGTGTTTTGTTGTTGTTTTTGTGGTGGGGTTTATTTTCCTATCTGTTTTTGTTGGTGGTTTTTTTTTTTTTTTTAAAGAAACCCAAAGCTCTTTTATCAACCCATATCATTAAACAGCTCCTTTTGATACAATAAAGAACTTGGTGCACATGCCAAAGCCTCTTTGTTCCTCACATGCTAAATGTCAGTGCTTTGCTCCTCTGCTAGTGACTCAAGCTGCTGCCCCTGTTCTAACAGAGGTGTGGATGAGGCTCTCAGCAACCTACACAAGGAGCAGTTGCTCAGGGAGCTGAAAGGTCTCATCTAGCCTTTCCAGCAGATAAAAAGCACCTGAGCACCAGCACAGCATCCCCAGAGAGAGCTGTGCAGCTCCTCACCCACTGCTTCTGCTCAGGCTGCACTGAGGAGATTCTCCAGTGGTTCTGGCAGAAAAAGGAAACTTGCTGTTTCCCACACAAGCCCAAGGCCCTTCAGAGCTGCACAGAGGTTGAATCCACAGCCAAACTCCTTTGGCTGCTGCTCCACAGCAGCTTCCCTGTGCAGGCAGAGTTTCAGTGAGAGGCTGAAGGGGTTTGGCAGCTCTTTGTAGAGTTTGGGCTGTTGCTGACAGGTTTTCTGCACCTTTCAGCAGAATCAGCTGAACAGGAGCTCAATGATTTATCCTTTTCAATGGGAAGGTGATCATACTTGAGGGTTTCCTATTCCTTGCACAACCCCAAACCTTTCTAAGGCTGTCTCACCTCCTTTTAATAGCACTTGGGGAGGCAGATTGCTAAGGCAGTTCCTCAGCTGAGCACCCAGACTGGAAAGAAAGAAGCACCTCTTGATATTAAACCCAACACAAATGAAAATAAACTAACTCCACCTGTGAAGACAAAGACATGATTTGAGCAGCTTTACACTCACCTCCTCCAGACACCTCTACAGCTAACTGAAAAGCTTTCCAGCTCCTTCCCCTTCTGCCAGGCAGCAGCTTTTGTTCCAAAACATGCTTTAAAATGCTTTGACAACAACATCTTCCCCTCTCCCCTGTTGCTACCTGATTCATCTCAGAGTTGGCCCAAGTGCTAAATTCATTAGGTCACAGAAAGCTGTGAATAGCTGTGAGTTTGCAGCTGTTAGAGGTGTGACCACCTCCGTGCTGAGACACTTGAGGTGTCATTGTGGCAGTGCTGGCAGGTCCTTCAGCCCCTGGGTGTAGTTTTGGGGGCTCTGGAGGGTTACAGTGTGTTCCACAGCCTGCTGAGCCCCAGCTGAGCTTGAGGAGCAGGCACAGGGCAAAGCCCCTTACCACCAACACCAAGGAGCCAAAAGGTAAGGCTGAGGCTTTATTTTGAAGGGAATGGAGTGACCATATCCTCCCTCTGGGTTGGCAATGTTGGCCTGAGATGAACAGAGCTCCCAAGGTGCTCTCATGGAGCAGAGAGGGTAGAAAATGGTAAGGAAACATCCAAGAAAGTACTTACAGCACATCACCCAGCAAGGGTGTTTATACCCTGAGTCTCCACACCAGTCTAACAGTCTCTGAGCACTGAGGGACAGCAGTGTGAGCACTGCAAACCACCCCACACCCTGTTCTGCCTCCTGTTCCCTGGGTGTTGCCTGATCCAGGCAAGGCAGAGCACTCCTCAGTGGGGGACAGTGGTCTCCCCACTCACTCCCACACTGCCAGGGCTCAGAGGTGGCTGAGATCCTGGGATGGTGTGTTCTTAAAGGCAGCAGATACTGAACCTCTCTCAGCCTCATGCTCTGTGGGCTCAGCTGCTCTGAAATGAGCAGCCACTCTGCTGGGCTGAGGATATGTCCTATTTCCAGCAAGATGTTTCTATACCCCAAAGCCTCAGGTGTCTAACAGCTTCCATTCCCTCAGTAGCATTGTCCTCCAGCCCTTGCAGCCTCTTCCTCCTCCTCATTCTGCAATCCCCAATGCCAGACTGGAAACATGTTGGAGATGCTGTTCCCCAACCCCATGTCAACAGCTCCAGGCCACACATGCAGAGCAAGTAAAAACTTGACACAAGAAAGGGAAAGAAACACAAGAGAGGAAATATCCAAAGGTTGATTGTGTGCTTTCTGGCTAGCAGGAGCATATTCTTTCCCTCCTTTATCCCCCCCAAACAGAAAAGGAGATAATAGAAAGTAAGTTGGGTGATACCTCTCTCCCCCAGAGCTGGCACAGCCCAGCTGGCATTTCAGTCCTGCCAGGTGAGTCCTGCAACCTTTACAAACACATATTTACACAAAACTCAGGCTCACTCCATGCTTATGAAAGCCATTAATAACTCCCCAAGTAACCTGCAGTTAGAGAGAAAAGAAAAGGTTCTTCTTTTCAGGCTCTTTACCAGTTGCACAGGGTATTTGATCAAAAAGTTGTGCTTGCCAACCGACTGACAGCTTTTCTATGGGGCCACTTGAGAGCATTTGTTTGGTGATAACGAGCCTTTGTTAGGAGCAACTTCTCCAAAGCCACAGGTAGGAAGAGATAAACTGTGCAAATAAAGGGCTATCACACACTGCCACTAATGCTAAGGTTAGAGAAGTTCCATTTCCCCTGAAACAGCCATAAAATATGAAGAGGTTAATTGTGAACTGCTCAAATCAATGAAATTCACCCCAGTGCAGAAGACACTCAGGATACCTTTGAGGCTTGAAAGGGATTTTCTTGTTCCCCAGGCCAGGACTTGGCTGCTCTGCAGGGAAAGGTGTTTTACATGCATGGGGAAGTAGCAGCCTCCAACTGTCTGGTGGCTCCAGTCCAAAGGCAACACCAACAGCTTGGTGCTTGTGGCTTGCTCAGGGTCTGAGCTTTGGGAAGTTGAGCACAGATGTGGCTGGAGAGAAAAGGAATCTTTCCTGGGCCTGGTGTGAGATCTTCTCACTGCAAACCTCATCTGTCAGCTCTGAGCAACACACACTGCCAGGGTCATGTCACATCACATCATATCACACCAGAGTATCATATCATAGTGTGTGAAGGGGTTGGGATGGAGCTTAGAGATCACCCAGCCCCAACCCCTGCCCTGGGCAGGGACACCTCCCACCAGAGCAGGTTGCTCAAGGCTCATCCAACCTGGAATGAACACTGCCAGGGTTGGGGCAGCCACAGCCTCCCTGGGCAACCTGGGCCAGTGTCTCACCACCCTCACAGGGAAAATTTCTTCCTAATATCTCATCTAAATTTTCCTCTTTCCATTCCTCCCCATTCCTCCTTGTCCTGTTCCTGCAGTTCCTAACACAGATCCCTCTGCAGTTTCCCTGGAGCCCCTTCAGCTCCTGGAAGGTGCTCTGATATCTCCACACAACCTTCTCCTCTCCAGGCTGAACAGCCTCAGCTCCCTCAGCCTGTGATGCTCCATTCCTGCCCCAAAGGATATTTCCCCTGCTGTTCTGGAGATGGTGATGATTCCAGATCCCAAGTCACACTGCTCTGCGTGACTCACCCAACAACAGGCAGAGGACACAATAAAGCAAGAAGCCACTCTAAGAAAGAGCTCATGTATTTGCAGAAGGACTTCAATCACCTCACAGGCATTTCTAGATGGCAAAAAAAGCTTTTTACATCTTCCCTAGTGCATCACATGCTGAGTCACAGTTTGACATCACATCAGTGCTCACAGTTTGACAGTTTTGTTGCTAGCAAGTTCCAGAAATGGATGTTTAATCAATCAGTTTTTCTTGCCACACAACACTAACCCCCCAAAGCAGTTCTCACTCCATTCAGGGCTTGTTATAACACCCTGCAAAGTCAGAAAGCACATGCTTTTGCTGGCCTATGCCCAGATCCATGCAAATTTATGCAAACACATGCAAATACATGCCTGCTTTTTTGTCAGTGGATGTTGGCAGGTTTGTAGATAGGATGGAGTGAGAAGCAATAGCAAAACAGCAAAGAGAAGGGCTGGAAAATGGAGAGCTCTGCAGTTCTTAAGAGCTTTTGTTCAATACAGTTGTTTAAACACTTCAGGCCTGTGAGACTGACAAGAGCTTCAGAGAATCCCACTCAGTCAGTCAGTGGGTGCTCAAGGAAGCTACTGCAGTGATTGGAGAGATCTTCCCTTCATCTCACTGTTCATCCTGTTAGAGAAACTAACTAGTGCAGCACGGAGAAACAGCAAACTACAACTCAGAGTGAGCACTGAGGATGCAACATCCTCTGCCCAAGGACTGTCCAACGTGGCTTTGCCTCCCTTCAGTCTGTTGCCCCAACAGAGACTCTGCTGTCAGCTGATTGCACAGCAATTCACAAATCATTTCACAGAAACACTAAGAATCCATTCAAACACCTCCTCAGGTGAGATGGGGAACAGGAGAGCACTTACCCATCGCACCCTGACCCTGCTGTGCACAGACCCACTGAGGTGTTGGAGACCCAAAGGAATTCTCTCTGTCTCCTGCACAGGTTTTAGCTCAGGTGAGGGCTCAGCTCCCCACTCTGAGGTTCTCCAGAGCTGTTCTGTGCCATCAGAGCTGGAGACCTGGACTGGATCAGATATCTCACAGAGGAATTCCTTTAGTGGGAAGCTCTCAGGAGCCACACAACCTGCACTGCTGAGAACTTTCCCTGTGCCCCTCAGATTCCTGCACTCCCAGGGTGGAAGGATCAATGGTAACTGCACATCACAAAGTCTCTCTGCACAGAACATAACCAGAGGCACAGTCTGAGTGTGTCTTAGAGCAGCATTTCTCAACCTTTTAAAGCCAAACTACCACCTCATGTTCCATCACCCCCAAAGCTTGGCTGTACCTCAAACATGTCCTTATTTATGTAACAGCCTTTTGCTTCACTCTGCAAAACAGAGCTTGAGGTTCAGTAGCATTCTTTGCTAACAGAATTGAATTTCAACCATTGAAAGCTCAACTTCTGGTGTCTTACATGCTACTTGTGGCCCAAAGGTTGAGAAACACTGCTCATCCCACCCTGGTATAAGGCTGGAGGAGCAGAGAGGAGTTGGGCCCATCCTCACAGGGTTTATGGGAAGCCTTGTGCAAACAGCAAGCTGGAGGTGAAACCATTCCACAAGCTGCAGGTGACCTAGGATCTGGCATTTCTGCCACAGGAGATGAATGCAGATGTGACTTTGCCTTTCTTCAGCAAATGCCTAACCTGCCAAAAAAAAGGGAGATGTTCATAAAGTACCACCTGAAGCCAAAATACACCCCAAAACATACACACACACACTTAGACACATATGTAACTAACCACACATCTAAACACATCAGGAACTACAAGGAGCTCCAGGAATATTGTCATTCCTCCAGGCATGAAACCCTGGAGTGTGCAGAGGTGCTGGGAAGCAGCAGCAGTGCAGATGCCTTACCTGGTCCCCAGCTTTCCCAGAAGGAGCCATGTGGATTGGCTGGTCATTGTCCAAGTTCCTGATGCTTGGGTCTGCCCCATAGTCAAGGAGCAACTGGACAATTTCCTTCTGGTTCTTATCACGAGGCAGTGCAGCTGCCATGTGCAGGGCAGTGTTGCCATGAGCCTAAAGCAGTGGGAGAAAGAGAAAAAGAAGTTAAAAAATCCATATAAACCTCCTGGTAAGCTGTGCCATCTACTCAGAACTGTTCTCAAAGTGGAGACTTGTGAAATGAGAGCTGAGGAAGCTTCATGTGAGGAGTTACCAGGGGTGAGGGAGGATCTCTGGTCTCTGATCTGTGGGTGTAAGTTTTTCTCTCTGCTAGAGAACTGCAAACTGGGGGCTTTGATGCTTTGGGTGCTGCTAATAAATAGCCCTGGACAAGCAACATTCCTAATAGAACCATAGAATTTTAGGGGTTGGAATGGAGCTTAGAGGTCATCCAGCTCCACTGCTCCCTTTTCCTGCACTTCCAAGAGCCAGAAAGCTGCAGAGTCTTGAGCTCTTGAGCCTCCTCAAGCATGGATTGAGTGCAGCTTTTCCAGTAAGAGGATTTGCCCAGGAAGGAGCAAGGGCAGGGGCACAGTGTGCTCAGCTCTGGTGCCACCAGACCGTGTAGAAATCTGTGCCCTGCCCAGTCAGGTATGACTGGTAACGGTTCTAAGTGAGAAAAGCCTAACAAACCACTGCATAAGGTGAGGTATTTTTAGCCTGCAGGAGTCTCATTTTAGGCAGCTGCTTGTTTGTCTCTCAGAAATGATCATACATTTGTCATGAGCCTGGAATGGTTGGACACCAAATGCAATGTGCATTGCTATTCCAGTTGTGACAACGAATCCATGTGGTTTTCAGGTCCTGTTGAGCACAAGGAGATGAAAGAGATTGAAGCAGAAAATCAAATAGCCAAATCCTAACAGCTATTCCCAGACCAGGCATGTTTGACAAAGCCTGAACAAGCAGATCCTTCTCGATTTCATCAGCCCAGGGAGCCAAGGGATAGTTACAAGCTCTTCACAGGGTTCCTCATTAAAATGGAAACATTGGCATTTGTTTGCTGCAGCTTTGTAGCAGCACTTGATAACTTCCCAATCCAGGCTAAAGCTGAGAGGAGACTCTCTGACACTGCCTGACCTTGAAGGCTCATGTTGACTTTAACAGGGCTCATGTGAGCCAATGTCCAGGGCACCAACGTGAGGCTCTAGGGATCCTTCAGGTGAAAAATACCTCAAACACTTCAATGTTTTCCTCATTGTGAAATCCCTAAGGAGATAGATTTGGAATGAGACAACCACAGCAAGCAATGGGGGAGCCTGGGAAGCCAAAACATGAACTCCAGCATGTCTGTCTTGTCTTCTTCATACTTGGAAGAGCTGAAAAATCTCCTCAGAGGGTATCAGACACCCTCACCATCACATTTCTCACTGCCCCAGACAGCTCACCAACAAGGCTGAAGACTCCAAGTGATCCTATCACAGCAGGAAGGTCTCCCAGGATTGTGATCAAGAGACATCAGGCTCCCATGGACAAGCTAACACCTGCCTGATGGTTCTTCAGAGATACACAAAGAATGCAGTGAAAGGCCACAAGGTCCTTCACTGTGCACAGAGACACAGACTCAGGGCCATTAGCCACATGCACAAAGCCAAATGTGTTCCCTGCACTGTCACAGAAACCTGTAGGGGTAAAAATGTGTCCTGTGTCTGCCTTCCAAGGGAGCACCTGAGTTGGTAGAGAAACTCAGGTCCTTCCTGATGGACACAAACCCGTGGATGCTCCAGGGAGCACAAGGCTAAGAGAGTGAAGAGCACTGACTCTCTCCCAACAGGGAATTCCAGCCATGTCCCCACTCCCTCTGCTCTCTCCTGCTCTAAGGAGGAGGACAGGGGGAGGGAAGCAGCCAAATCACCCCCTTAGCCCTGCTGAGAGGAGCAGCTAGGCAAGAGCCAAAGGTCTGGCTGATGGCACAGCGATGGCCCAGCTAAGGCACAGGAATGTCAGGATGTTTGCTCAGGAGGAGGGTGAAGCTGATCCATCTGCAAGATAACAGCACTGCTTGGTATCTGCTGCGAGGTGAGGCATGGGGCAGCAAGGACATGGGTGACAAGGGCACTGGGAAGGTTCCTGGCTTGGTTTATATATCCCAGGAATGGCTGTGTCTCCAGAAACATGCACTGAGGGATCAATGCTGCTACAACTCCAGCTCAGCCAGGAGTGTCAGCAGCCCCCAGAGCCAGAGGGCACAACAGTTCTCAGTCCTCAGCCTAAGGGTCATGTTCCTCCTCGAGGAACCACTTCCCATGTCCTTCCTCTTCCCTGGTTATCTCCCCCTCATTCTGTCAGCTCCTGCCTGCTGGGAGAGAGGCCTGAGTTCCATGGCACAGCTCAGACTTCAGGTGCTGCTTTCCAGGTGAATTCTCTGCTTACTGGAAAATGCAGCTTGGGGTGAAAGAGAAGTTCAGATTCACAACTGTTGCTCTTTCCTCTAGAAAAAAATAAATGTGTGTGGGGAGAGAGTAACTAAATAATTGAAAGAGGGAAATTTAGATGAGATATTAAGAAGAAGTTTTAGATGTGAGGTTTGCCCAGGGAGGCTGTGGCTGCCCCAACCCTGGCAGTGTTCATTCCAGGTTGGCTAAAGCCTTGAGCAACCTGCTCTGGTGGGAGGTGTCCCTGCCCAGGGCAGGAGTTGGGGCTGGATGATCTCCCAGCTCCATTCAAACCCCTTAAGACTCCAAGAAACTGAATTTTGAAGGGCCACAGATCTCCTATCACCTCTGGCTACATGCAGCCTCCCAGCACAGCTCACACTGCTCTCAGCATCTCCTCTGCCTGGAGATGTGCACACACATCCTGTCCATGCTCCTCCTGCCTCACCTTGTTGTTGACAAAGTCCTTGGACTTGAAAGCATTCAGCTCTAAGAAGTATCTGAGCAGGGAGATGTTCCCATCCTGGACTGTGTAATGAAGAACTGTCTTGTTGCTTTTCACATCCTATTGAAAAACAGGGGGGGAAAATCAATCAAAATAAGAAACATTCTGCAGAACAACCTGGGAATAGTCTATAAACCCATCAAGGATAACCCAGACCAGTTCTGCAGCTAATGTGAAGCATCTCCTTCCCTTCAGTGACCTCCCTGTCCAGGGTTTGCTCCAGGCTGCAAGAACTTCACAAGGCAGCACCTAACTCTGCAACCAGCCACTCAAAATAGGAACTGCAGCTCATTCCTTCTCCAGTTCTATGTTTTGAGCACAGCACAAGCACCAGGAAGACAATTCCCTCCCAAAGAAACCCCCCAGGGCTGCCTGAGCCCATCCCTCACCCGGCTGTAGATGGAGGCTCCAGTGTGCACCAGGAGGTGGATGCAGGACTCCAACTGCTCACTCTGCTGCTGAAGATCCTTGTGCTGCTCCTCAGTGAGTGCCTGGCAGCTCTGCTCCTTCAGCAGGGCATTGTGTGCCAGCACAGCACAGTGCAGAGGGGTATGGCCTGGAGAAATGTGGAGGAAGGTAAAAACAGTCCCAGGGACAACATTTATGGGCAGAGAGCAGGCAGAACTGGCATGGGGAGTGTAGACATCTCTCTGCACGTGCTGCCAAGGCACAAGGTCTTCCCTGGTTTCCCAGGTCACACACTGGACACTTTTTGGGCCACTCCAACCCGTGCTCAGTTCCAGCTGGGCACTGAATCCCCTCTGAGCCATCAGCACTGCTGAACTCTGTGCTATTTGAGCACACAGATGTGACTCTGTCTCTGCCCCAAGCAGTTCCTGAGCCCACTGTGGCCTCCCAGCACAGCCCCAAACTCCAACCAGCACCAGCCAATAAATCAGCCACCACAGGTTTTCACAGCACTATGAAACATTGGTGCAAAGGTTTTTACCTTCAAAATCCTTCATCTCCAGATCAAGGGGGAAACCTAGAGACAGGACAACCTGGAAGCAAGAGAAATGGAAAATTCTAGTTGAGCACATTACTGTTCAAGCCAAGATCAGTCAGAACTGGCAAAACATAGATAGCTAATGATAATTTAACTACAAACTAAGCCTTATTTGACACTAAATTTCAGTGCTGTGAATCTGTTTCTTAACAGAGATGTTCAGGGTCACATAAGGTGATGATATTCCCTAGTTTCCTAATCCTCACCTAAGTATCCTCTTAGATTTTCAGCTCAGAACAGTCAAATTCAGGCACTGTCCCCAGCTGAAGAGTGTCAACCTCCTCCCTTCACCAGGGACTGGGCACACACCCCAATAACACCAAAGCACATTTATGCTGAGTTCTTCTTGACAAGGACAAATGAAAATCTCTCCTTGACAGGCAGAGCCAAACTCTATTACTTAAAACTTTACCAGCACTGACAATTCTCAGCCTGGATTTATTTACTTCTGATTTCTAGTGTGCAGCAGAGTGAGAGGTGAACACACAGCTTGGTGCAGTGGCTGCAGAAATGAGAATAAAGAGCCTAGAAAGGGCATGAAATAGTGACCTGGAGATGAGAGTTGTTGGAATTTAGCAGAGAAGAAAGTTTTAAACTCACAGCTTGGTGCAGTGGCTGCAGCAATGAGAATATAGAGCCTAGAAAGGGGATTAAATAGTGACCTGGGATGAGCATTGCTTGGACTTAGCAGAGAATAAAAACTTTCAAACTCTGTAAGTGATAGATTCAATGTGATGAAGCTAAGTAACTCCTTGTCTGTATGACTGTAGATAACTCATTCCTTTCTCTTGACTGAATAAAGCTGTTCATGTAGAGTTTTGTGTCTCCTCCAGAACTGTGTGAAATGAGCCAAGGCTCAGTCAGATTCTCCCGTTGAAAGCTGCCCCAGAACGGTTAGACCTTGTTTTATCTCCTCATAACCATAATAAAATATATCCAGCTCAAATATTGACAAGGTTCTTGATTATTAAAGATTAGATAGTTAATCCATTAGGAAGAAAACCAATAGAATAAACAAACAAACCATAAAGCATTTCATGCCTTTCATCATACCAAGAAACAAGTCTGGGGCATTTTCCTTCTCCATGTAAAGGCAAAACAAACCACAAAAGCAAAGCCAAACAAAGCAAGCCTGAAATACAACCCCCCCAAGGCACTCTTTGTTGGAATCATCTGGATTAAAACCCTTTTTTTTTCCTGCTGGTGGAAACACCTGTTTTCCAAAGAAGTTGCCATGTTATACATTAACTGCTGATGGCTTAGCCCAGGGCACGTGCCAGGCAGGGCTAACGAGTGCTGGGGTGGCCAGCAGCATGCCAGGCACCCCGTGGTACCTCAGGTAACCTCAACAGCACCCAGGGAACTCTGCCTAGGCTCAGTCCTGCCATCCCTCACCTCGGGCATGGGTCAGGAACTCCAGTTCGTGGCCAATAGTGAAGCGTTGAAGATGTATCTATGCTAATCCCTGCTGTGGAATCCCTTCCCAAAATCCCCAGAGTGCCTTTTTTGGTGTGCTGGTTTGCTGTTCAGGGCTGGCACATAGCTCAGGGGTAATCTCTGTCTGCAGAGGGGCAATGGGTGAGTGAAGATCTGATCATAGAAGTCGTGGGGGAATGTCTTCCCACTGCCAGAGGGCAGGTTAGATGGGATATTAGTTCAAAGTTGCAGCCAGGAAAGATGGGGAGAGACTATTTGCAAGGACCTGGAGTGTCAGGATAAGGGGGAATGACTCCACATTGACAGAGAGCAGGTTTAGATTGGATATCAGGAAGAAATTCCTCCCTGTGAGGTGCTGAGACACTGGCACAGGTTGCCCAAAGAAGCTGTGGCTGCTCCAGCCCTGGGAGTGTTCCAGGCCAGGCTGGACAGGGCTTGGAGCAATCTGGGCTAGGGGAAGGTGTCCCTGCCCATGGCTTGAGCCTGGACACAATTCCTTGCTCCTATCTGGATGACACTGGGCTCAGGGAAGGGTTTCACACTGCTATTAGTGCTCCCTCTCCTCACCTCCCATGGCTGGGGAACCAAAGCAACACCACCCTGGGGGCTCAGGGCACAGTTAGGGCATGACCTGCACAAAGGATTTATTTCCCCCCATAGAATCACGAAAGAATTCTCCTCTGTAACAGGAGGTTGATGTTAGCTGCAAGTAGAATCCTAAACCAGGACTAAAACCACCTTGGGAAGTCAATTCCTGACTCAAGGAGACTTTAATCAGTCTGCATTGCTAACTGGCATCTTGCCTTCTGGGGCAGTGAATTAAAGACACCAATTTCAAGCCTTTATTGTGGGTTTATATTGCTAGCAATTAAAGCCATAAAGCTGCTCCTACCTGAAGGACTTGGGCATAGCCATATGTTGCAGCAAGGTGTAAAGCTGATTGCCCTTTGTTGTCCACAGCATTGACATCTGCTCCTGCCTGGATCAGATCATGGACAATGGCTGGTTGCCTGGCAGTGACAGCCACCAGCAGAGGAGTCTGAAAGAGCAGCACAGCAGATAAACATGATGTCAGCAGCACATGCCAGCAGAAAGCAGGGAAGGGGGAAAGGCAGTCTGGGCTGGAGGGTATCAGGAGTCCCAAGGATTGTGGTGCACAAACCAGAGGCAGGTTAGGACCCATATTGAGCATCTCTCCTATGGGGAAAGGCTGAGAGAGTTGGGATTGTTCTGCCTGGAAAAGAGAAGGCTCTGGGGTGACCTAATTGTCCCTTCCAGTACCTGAAGGAGCTACAGGAAACATGGAGAGAGACTATTGATAATGTACTGGAATTCCAGAACACAGGGAAAGGCTTCACACTGACAGAGGGCAGGGCTAGATGGGATACTGGGAAGGAATTGTTCCCTGTGAGGTGCTGAGACACTGGCACAGGTTGCCCAGTGAAGCTGTGGCTGCTCCATCCCTGGGAGTGTTCCAGGCCAGGTTGGATGGGGCTTGGAGCCACCTGGGCTGGTGGGAGGTGTCCCTGCCCATGGCAGGGGGTGGGATGAGATGGTCTTTAAGGTCCTTCCAACCCAAATCATTCCATGATCCTATGGCATCACGAGCTGGGGACATTTCCCAGCCCTTGCTGAGCTCCCTCCAATGTTCTTCAGCCCTGCATGGGATGCCAACCCAAGTGCAGCACTTTGAAACACCAGTTACATCATGTGCAGCTCTCCTGGCACACAGCAGCTACTCATCCAACCTTCAGCCTCAGCCACTACTGCCAACACACATATATTTTCCTGGACTAGTGTTCCCTGCAATCACTCTATGAACCATGGGCTGAAAACACAACAGGCTCATCCTCATCCCACCTAATTTATGATCCTGCAGGAGACACCTCAGCAAGGCACAGAGTGCTGAGCATTCTCTTGCAGCACCAGAGGGACAGAGCTGGTTTTTCAGGCCATCAGCCTCTCTCAGCATGCAAAGCCCATGCCCACCCCCAGCCCTGCTGTGTGCAGGAGAAAGATGCCCATGTTACCTTTCCTCTGTGTTCCTTGGCATCGAGTCTCCGCAGCAGTTTCATGCGCTCTGCAGCTGCCAGAGTGTGAGCCCTCATCCCCTTAGCTGCATAAATGTGGAGAATTCTAAGACAGCAAATAGAGACACTGATCACTGCTGGGCCATGAGCCACCCTGGGAGCAAACAGGTTGGGTAGCATTGCCACTTTGGGGGTTTAATCTTCCACAAACCCATGCCCTGAGCCCCAGAGCACCCACTCCCATGGAAAGGGCTTCCTACCTCAAACAACTGCAGTGTCCAGGGGCCCTCAGCACTGCTGAGCTTTGCCATGCTGCCTCCTTTCCACTTCAGCACCTCCTTTCAGGTGAGATTCGCCACTGGGAGGTATCTAAGTCCTCCACAATGCTCAGTGTTGGGGCCCAAGTTACCATATCATATGTATCCCCTTTTTGGGGTGATGCAGCCCTGTGTGCATCCAACAAACAACCCCTAAGTGGTATCTAATCAACCTGTTAAACTCTACTTCTTCATCAAAACTGCTGGTGAGAGGGACCAAGTCCTTATATTGGTGCACAAGACAGAATTGTCACGATCCATAGCAGTTAGAGGCTGATGGTGACAGAGTGACAGGGAAAACACTTTGCTGCTTCCCCTTAGTTGTCTGGCTCTGGCTGGAGCTACTCACCACTTCCATTTCCCCAGCTCCTACTTGCCAGGGCTCTGGGAATACACTGGTAGCTTTGTATCTCCCCTTTGCACATCCTACACACAGTTGAATCAGCCCCTGGCTTCATTTTGCTGCAGACAAGCAACCTCTGATGCTTCCCAGTGAGATGGTGAGAGGCAGTTGTTTGTCTCCTTGGTTAATTTGTACCCCAGAGTCATCCCTTGCAATTTCAGGAAGTAGAGATGCAACTTTCTGGCTAACCTGATTTTCAGTCAAGCTCAGCATCAGCTGTGGCTGCACACCCACACATCCCCAGGGTGCCAAGAGAGGGTAAGAGTGGTTGAGCTAACAGCTGAACTGGGAGCAAGGATTGCTTGAGGAAACTGTGCCTCCAGGCCAGACTTGGATCATGGAGTTCCTCCTTAGTCTGCCTTAACGTGCCAAATTAGCACAAAGTCTGACAGCCAATCTATGTTTCTACCCTGCACACATGTTTTTGTGCTGATGGATTGCTAAACCACTGCCAGGTCACCCTCTTGGACAGGAAATAAAACACTTTAGGCATAGCAAAGTTACTGTAGATCTTTATTGAAAATTTGTCTTTTTTTTCTAACCAGAACAACCCAGAAAGAAATTGTGAAACAGTTCATCATTGCTCGATATTCACACAGGGAATTTACAGACATTGGAGTGAGAGGGATTGGAAAGCAATCAGCAAACACAGGCTTGGTTCCCACCTGCATTATCCCAGTTTTACCTGTGGCTTTGCACCTATAAAACTGGAGTAAGCAGCAGTGAACTAAGACCCATGGAATGAATTTCTTTGCTGGGTTTTTCTGCCAATATAAGCCACTAATTTCAATGTACCTCAACTATTGCTCTTTGCCAACAGCTTGATGATCACTCATATGATCTATTGCTTCTGTCTTCCAGATTTGCCAATATTCAATAACAAAACATGCTTGGAAAGTCTTTAAGACTTCCAACTTGAGCTTGCAAACCTCACTCAGGTAGAAACTGGGAGGTCACTTGAAATATTGCCTGGGTGGCAAGTGGATTGTTAGACTCCAGGTAATGAGCAGTGCAATAAATTACTTTGCAGTTAGTCTTTGCAAATAATAAAATCAGCTAAGCATCCTGGGCTTTGGAAAGCAGAAAAACCCAGAGAAATTGTGTTCACCAGCCAAGAGTCTTTTGTTTATTAGGAAAACAATGAACAGAGTTAGGAGGGGATAAATCTCCTGCAAATCTATTTGCCTGTGGCACTCCTGAACATCAACAGAGATATTTACAGTTGCATCAGAGGGAAAAGTAAAGCTACTCATTCTCCAGGAAAGGAAATCAGGAAGCTCTAAAGGAAGTGTGTGCACCCATGGGCCTGGGAGGCTACAGCAGAGAGAAACTTTCCATGGCACTAAGGCACAGGAGAGGTCACTAATGTTCCTGGCTCAGCACATCACACTCAAATGCTACAGAAGAAACAAAAGTATTGCCAGATCAGAATAATGCCATGGATTCCTTGTTAGGCTGCAGTCCAGGTTTTGGAAGTCCCTGTCTTCTCCATGCTCTCCTGCCATAGGACCATGTCTTGCAATCCTGACTCAGGCAGAGACTTCAGTGGGACCAGGATCTGTCCATTGGCAGAACATGCAGTGTTACCAGCCAGCCACTACATCAGCTCAGCTAAATCAGCCCCAACTCAAAGGTGGAGATTTTAGAGGCCAAAACCACTGTGCAGCTGAGAAACCATGACTCAACCCACTGCTCCACACCTCCAGGGCTGGATCCTACCTACTGCAGGTACTACAGGGCTGGATTCCAATGGCAGACCAGGTGAGACCTTCAGGTCACACCTTTGTGTGAGCTCAGATGTTCCAGCTGCTCTGTAAATAGTGATGTCTGACTGTGCTGGCACCTAATTCAGCTGTATTGGCTTGATTTCCAGACTATTGCTCCTCCCTGCACCAGTAAACAACGACCTCCATTTTCCTAATTTCCAAAGGAGCTGTTCAATTTAGGGAAGAAAAATGTCACTTTAAGCCCCCCAAAGTGTTTTCTAGTGGCCTAGATCAGGTAGAAGCTCCACTATGGACAGGTCAAAGACATACACACAAAGGTATTTGCACAAAAGCCTTTTGGAACCCTTTGCCAGGTGTACCCTCACCAAACCCTCCAGCTCCATGGCTACACCACAGGATGGAACCTGAGCCCATTCCCTGTGCCTGAGGATGAAAGTCACCCTGTGCTGATGCTGAGCACAAGTATGCAGTATCAAGAACCTGCCTGGGAGAGGCAGCAGGAGCTGCAAGAGCAGAGCAATCTTGTGCTGGGCCCCAGGACAAAGCAAGTTTCACCCAACACACAAGTCATGATGTGGCTAAAATTCCCACCCCACGATGGAACCTGAGCCCATTCCCTGTGCCTGAGGATGAAAGTCACCCTGTGCTGATGCTGAGCACAAGTATGCAGTATCAAGAACCTGCCTGGGAGAGGCAGCAGGAGCTGCAAGAGCAGAGCAATCTTGTGCTGGGCCCCAGGACAAAGCAAGTTTCACCCAACACACAAGTCATGATGTGGCTAAAATTCCCACCCCACCCCACCCTCCTCTGTACTCAAAACCCACTGTGCTGCCAAGGTGGGGCATTGAGTAGGTGAGGCTGAGGCCCCAGAGGTGCAGGTTAAAGCCCTTCAACAGAGAGAGCATGGTTTAACACATACGTATCGTTGTCTTCGTCTTCCAGCAGCAACTTCTCGATGGGCAACGCTCCAATGGCTCGTCGGGCGTCCTCCAGCTCCTGGGGGGCTGGCTCAGGGATGGAGATGGGCACAGGCACAAACTGGGGCCCTGGCAGTGTGGAAGAAGCTGGCTGGTACTGCAGAGGGGAGGCTGGCAGGGCAGAGAGGGGCTGTGCCCATGGGAAGGGGAAGTAGGTGAGCGTTGCCTGCTGCTCCGACCCCTCCAGCTGAGGCACGACAGCAGGGGTGGTGCTTCTGGGCTGGGAGAGCAGGAGAGAACAGAGCAAAAGAAAACTATTGGTCATATGGGGCAAGGGAGGACATAAAACAGGCTAGGGATGTTTGTCTTACTTCCAGCATCCCTTGTCCTGTCTCTCTGGGTGAAGCATAGAATGTTAAAGGGTTGGAATGGAGTTTAGGGATCATCCAACCCCAACCCCTGCCCTGGGCAGGGACACCTCCCACCAGAGCAGGTTGCTCAAGGCTCATCCAACCTGGAATGAACATTGCCAGGGTTGGGACAGCCACAGCCTCCCTGGGCAACCTGTGCCAGTGTCTCCCCACCCTCACATTGAAAAATTTCTTCCTAATATGAACAACTTCTCCCTAACATGAAGATGAGCTCTGCACTGAGTGTGACACTTTTCCCACATGGGCTCCCCTGAGAGCAGTGGCTGTGGGTGTCCCAGGTGCTGCCACGAGCTCACACTCACGTCAGGTTCCCTCTAGCTTTCTGTTCCCACTCTCCCCTCGCTGTAAGCCCATGAGACAGTTACACCCTGTGCTGGAAATTGCCTTCTCAACACTCTCTCTTGCAAGCTGAAGGCAGAGACATGACTTTGCTGCCATGAGGCTGAAGGAAGTTGTTCTGGCCTCTGGGGCAGCACATCCTAAGCAGCTGTGTCAGCTCAGGCAGAGCCACAACAGCCCTTGCTCAGCAGTGAAGGCCAGAGGGGACAGACATGGGCTGGGGGTGATTTTCTGGGGCTGTTACAGCAGCTAAACTGAAACACCAAAAGGGAAAATCAGCTGCTTGTGTTCCATAGAGACAGAACTCTCTGCCTTTCTCCTCTAAGGAGGAGCAAATCATCTTGGGCCAGCCAAACACATCTTGTCTGGCCTGAATCCAAATATTCTGCTATCTTTACATGCTGTTTTGACTTTGCTCTTCCACTGCTAAACAGCAACACCTGACAGATTTATTACCAAGTCCTTGTCCCTGCTTCACCTGCTGGATGTGTTCCCTGGAATCCCATTTTCCTTTTTCTTTAAGCTTGGAATCTCTGCTCAGACTGGAGGAGTGCAGAGAGCTGGGAAAAGGGCAGTGAATTTTGCTTGATTCCAGTCCAACCACAACCTTTTGCCCTACTCAAACCATACTACTGCCCAGCACAGTGCCTACAACAACTGCATGGCATAGATGCAAACACACACATATTAGAGTAACTAAATCAATTAGACTAACTGCACCAGTCAGTCCCCACAGCTCTTGCTAGAAGATTGGCAATTTACTGTCATTTTTGCCTCGGTAGTTTGGACTTACTGCAAAATTGGTGATCAGTGGCTGAGAAGTGTAAGTCAGCACAGATGAAGGTCCAACCAAGGTGTAGCTGGGACACATGGGCTGAACATACATGTCTGCAGTGCAGGGACAGCTCACAGCTTCGTGGGACATGTACTCAGGGTAAGAGGTCCACTGAGGGAGAGGCTGCAGGGGTGTGGGAGAGGGCTGGGAGATCCAGCCAGAGCAGGGAGCTCCTTCCTCTGGGACAGGCAATGTAGGGGCAGCAGCATCCATGTCAATGCAAGGCTGGCCTGAAAAACAGGAGAGGATTAATCCCAGCTCAGCACAACCTTCCCTTCCAAACACTTAGAGAGTCAGGGATACATTACCCATTGAGGAATAAGAAGGAAGTGGCTGATGGGGCAAAACAACCTGGAAGAGAAAAGAAAATATGCAGAGATTAAGACCATCAACATTTAATTCATTGCCCTCAGAGAAGCACTGAGGGCAAAGCATATTAGGTGTTATCAGCTGATTATCTGAGACTACTGCAGTGTCAGTGCCTGAATTTTCCCACCCACCTCTACCCAAGGGCCAGGAAATTGAGCCTGGCAGCCAGGACACACAACCCCAGCCCTGCTTTTGTGGGACTAGCCAAAGGCCACACATCCCCTCAGCTCAAAGGGGCCTTGAACACTATGTAAACCTTGTGCTGCAGAGGGAATTCCTCTGGGGAGAGGAGCCAACCTGCTTCCTCCTGGCAGGACAAAGACAGGCTGAAACTAAGCAGCAAATAGCCAAGAATGGCTCTGGCTGAGCTCTCTTTGTGCCCTCGACCAGCTGCTTAACTTCCAAACCACTTTCTGTGCCTGGGCATCAGATCCTGCCAAATGCAAAGCACTTTCCCCTTTCCATTAAGTCAGTGCTGACTGAAGGTGCTCAGCACACTGAAGTCACTCCACTCAGAGATAAGCAAATGGCATCACCAGGCTGCAGAGCCTTCAAATGCTTTAGAGGTGCAAAGATTTCTTTCATTGTCAGGGCTGGGCGATCATTTAGCTACTAAGGAGCATTTCCCTCCTGTGTTTGTGTTGTCTCCTACCGCTGGAGCTGCTGCTGCATTGGCATTGTGGACATTGCCCCTTTTCCTCTTCAGCAGCTCCTTCACTGGCTCCTTCACACGGACACCCTGGTAGGGACGAGGCTGTGGCTGCTGGTCTGGAGCAGAAGCTGAGGGAAAAGAAAGTGGATGACATTTAGTTTCCTTTCAGAGAGCCCAAATCCCACCAGGCTGTGCCAGTCAGTGTGGATGGTGCAGGTTGAGTTGCTCCTGACTTCACTGGTGGATCTGCTTTGTGTTGCTCAGTGCATCTTTACACACACCTGAAGGGCAAATCAGGCTGAGCATAGCCAACAGGTCTATGACTCTGTGGATGTCTAGTCTATGACAGACACAGGGGAGTCTATGGTAGACATATATCAATTGTTGGGCAAGCAGAGACAGAAAAAAAAGAGAGATTAGGTACTTAAGAGAATTATATTCAGTGTTTAGACACAAGGTATAAATTCAACCCAAATTAGAAAAGCATCCTCACCTGGAAAGCCATTTAAGCATCACTAACTGGACATAACTCAGAGATATGAGAACAGGCACATACTGAAGTGCCATCCTGGACCAGAGTCGTGTTCTGTTCCAAACAGACTTTGCTCATAGCCTGCCCAGGAGGTGTAGGACTTGCTGCCCTGGGATGTGTTGTATTGACACCACATCTCAGAGCTTCTAGCCATAAACCTCAGAGTTTCTGCCCCTAAACTCTGCTCCACTTTGAAGACTAAAGCTTGCAGCCAGCTACAAAGGTCTCTCACAGCCCCAGGTGAGAAGTGAGAGCAGAGGGAGCAGGTTCCTTCATTAACCAACATTAACAACCCATATTTTCCATGGAGCACTTGGAGGGAATTGATAGCAGAAGGAAACCATGGGATATCAGAGCTCAGGGAGGCCTGATATTTGCCAAGCCACCGATAGCAGTGCCTCCCTGCCCCTTTTTGCTGCACTTTGGTGTGTAAATATGCTAATGGATAAGTTTTCCATTTTTAAAGATGCCAACTGGGCCTTGGTTTTCTGAAGTGCAGGAGGACAGACAGCTCAGATCTCAAAGCATTATTCCACTCCAGGGGCACTGATTTAGATTTACGTTCTGTGCTTCGCATCACAGGTCAAGATGAATCACAGAATCACAATCATTAAGGTTGGGAAAGCCCTCTGAGATCATCCAACCTGTGACCAACACCCCCATGTGAACCAGAGCATGGCACTGAGTCTCTCCTCAAACCCCTCCAGGGACAGTGACTCCACCACCTCCCAGGGCAGCACATTCCAGTGTCTCATCTCCCTTTCTTGGTCATTTCACCTCAGATCACCTCTCCCAGTTATCTGTAGTTATGTGCACACTGAGATGTTTCTGTTACATCTTCCTGGGAGGAGAAAAACTGAGTCTAAATTTACAGACTGTAAATTAATCTCAAAAATTATCCAAGAGAATAAATATTTCTGCTCTAACTTCTTTTAAAAGAACCTTAAATCCTTTTCCTTCCCCTTGGCTCTTCCATTAACTCCTTTTGACTCACTGGATACAATTCAATCCTGAAATCTTGAATTGCCATTATAAATCCTTTTGGTACCAGAGGGTGGTACATTTATGCATGGAACTGTTGCCTTCATTACCTTTATGCACATGGGGAAATATTTTGCTTTCAAACAGCAGCTGGAGAAAGATGATTTTCCAGCCTTTGCCTGATCTCCCTTAGCTTTCTGTGGACATTCTTTGTGGCACTTGAAATGAGGTTACTGTGAATCCTGTAGCTTTGGAAATGCAGTTGGTAAAGAGAACTAAGGTCACTTAAATTCTCCACACAAACATCCACAAGGGCTTTTCATACACTTGATATTTGGCTTTGTAAATTTAATTGGGATTCATTCACTCGAGTGAAATTATAGTGCTAAGAAATGCACTGGGAATTCTGAGAAAGAGCTGAATCTCAGGCAGGAGGTCTGAAATAAAGACCTTCACAAAGGAGTTTCCTTCTTCTTATGAGAGATCAATTACATTTGGAGGTTACTTATTTGTACTCTCCTGAAAAGGTGCTCAGAGTCAGACAGTGCTGCTGTTCTTGATGCTGCATGAAGACATCAACTCCACCAACTCCACAAATCTGAGCTCTGCTCTATGTGACCTGAGAGGCACAACTCAACCTCTTGGGGAGCATCTTGTCCCCACGGTGGTTTGACAGGGCCCCCTGCAGAATTAGGGTGGGGAAGGCTGGCAGTTTCTGGCTCCAGGTTTGGGGGATGGGAGAGCAGAAATTTACTGTAAAAGCTGACAAATATACCTATCAGAGTTTCCGGTGTAAGCAGAGTAACCAAAAAAATAAAGAGAAAAAACCAGAGTCTGCAGAAGATATTTCAGTTCCCCCAAGCTGACCTCCAGAAATAAAAATAATGCTAGCACAGCTGCTTTTCCACTGCTCAGGGGGGTATGGGGTCTGAGCACTGCACATGAACCACAGCAAAATGACTTCTGGCTTCAGAGTGCAATTCCTTAGCAAGCAGAAGAGACATGAGCACTCACAAACATCAGCAGTTGGAGAAATAATGCCCATTAAATCAGCCTTGGAAAGGAAGTTCCTGGATTTATTAGTGTCCAACTCCTTACATGAAGCTCTAGCTGAGCTCTGAAGTCTGTCTTGGACTAAGTTTCGATGCTATTTCTGTTGAAGTCATGAGCTACAAAGGCACCAAAGTCCACGTGCCCAAATTCCACTCTCACGAAAGGAGCAGCAGCACATGTGCTCCAGTGCCCAAGTGTTCTGTTTGTCTCATGGAGCACAGAACAACCAGATTCTGCTCTTTAACAGGCACTGGGTCTTGATTAGTAACTCCTTTCTGAGGCTGGAGCAGTATGAAAGATTCCAGATCAAGAAAGAAGAGAAGGAATCTTACCCAACCAGTAGGAAGCTTTGCAATAGTTTCCACATTCTATTCTGGCTCAGTGCAATGCTTTTGCCTCCCAAATCCCTGGTGTGTGTACAGGCTGAGGCTCCTTTCATCAATGTTATCACTTACTGTGTTTGTTGAGTGGCCACAAAAGCCCAGCACAAGCCTTGAAGTTTTCTGAGCAATCTTTCAAAGTGTCTGGATAACAGCACAGCTACTGGAAAGGGACCAAGTGCAGCAGTTCCACTAGCTCTAAGTGACAGCAGAAGAAAGCCCATAATGATGTTGGATTCCAGACTGCTTTGCAAGTCAGCCTGAAAGCATCCAGACTGCACAGACAAGTTTCCAGGCTGCCAATTTCAGTAGGCTCTGGATGAATATTTGACAACTCCATTAGAGTCTGTAAGGTCTACACACACATCTCTCTGCACTGCTTATCCCTCTGCTGATTGATGGGGAAAAATGCATCTTCTGATGGGTGAGTCCAATTAGTGTTGAACATCACAGGCACAGCCCATGGGGATCTTGCTGTCTGGTTTTGGGGAGCAGCTCTAGCCTGGCTGACAAGAGCTTTAGGAATGAGTTTGGCAAGACCCTTTGCCCAAGGTGAGGAAAACTCTGAGCAGACCGATATGTTGGGTCCTAATCCTGTAAACCTTGGTCTTCATGGGCTCTGGAGAAGCTGAGAGGTGGAGAAACTGGTCACTGAAAAGGTGGTCAAGCACTGGAACAGGCTCACAGGGAAGTGATGGAGTCACCACCCCTGGAAGTGTTAAAACACAAGTTCACGAGGTGGTTTATTGGGCATGGTGAGATTCAGTCAAAGGTTGGACTTGATGATCTAGGAGGTCTTTTCCAACCTTAATGATTCTATGTCTATAGCATCCAGTTCAACAGCCAACAACATCTCATGTTGACATGATGTTTGCCATCCCCAGATTCCTGGCAGTGCAGTATCTCTATGGACTGGACAGAGAAATGTGCTGCTTGATAACACACCTGAACTGCTGCTCTGAGGAACAGACCAGCCAGAGAGAGCCAACCAAGACACTGCCAAAAGCTAAACCAAGCACCTTCAAAATGTGTCTTCCTCCACATTTTGATCTAACCCTTGCTGAAACTGGAGGGAAGACAGTGGCCAAACAGCTGCTGGAAGGTTGTGAGCATCGAAGCATGACCAGTTTCAGATCACTAAACTTCACATCAGCACCACTGGCCTTCACACACACATGAACTGCAGCCCAATTTCAACCTTCAGCCTTTCAACCAAGTCAGTGATTTCCCAGCAGGCAGTTTTCACTTTGAAATACACTGCTAATCTCTCAGACTTTGCCTGTCTCCCTCCCTGCCAGCAGCACCAAATGCCACACTTGTCTCTGCTTCAGAAGCTTTAGTTTCTTTGCTCACACACCAACATGTGATAAGATTAGCAATTGGTCAGTGTTAACAGTGTAAATATAATTCTCTTTGCTGCTTTCTCCTCCAGTATAATAAACACTTGAATAGAAACACAATAGGAAACTTGTCCCTATTTGCAGTAACCTCAGAGAGCAATCACTAACTCTGAATGACAAGCAAAATTGATTTCATTTAACAAACTACTGTTAATGGTTTGGATATTGAAGAGAAAATTATGATTTCTATCAGGCACAGTAAACTTTGGCTAATAGAAAGAAGAAAGTGGCTTATCTTGGTAGACACTTCTTGGATGTTTAGACTCTAACCAAAACCTTAACAATGAGACATCAATGCCCATCAAACAAGGGACTAAATGGTTCATCATGGTCATGATTCCCTGGCTAATTGCACAGTTTCCATTAATATGTTACTAGGAGTGAAAAAACAGAGGGATTGTTTTATCTCTGCCTTGTGGTAATTCCAGGGCAGGGAAACAAAGCACTGAAATGCATTGAAGTGTCCAAGATCCCAGAGAGTAACACTCCAGGGAGTCACTCAGGAGAGATATTCTTCATTCCAATTCCATCCCTGCCCCTCAGCATCCTTCAGGACATGTCCATTTTTGAACTGATCCAGCCAATTAGTCAGAAGTGAAACACACTGGTGACCCATCTGCAGCTCAAGCCCTTGGAGACAAAAACCAGTTCTCTCTACCAAGATCCATCCCAGCGAGTTGTGTTGGTGCCAACAGTCTTAGGTGGCTGTGCCAGGTCCCTGCACGAAAACAGTTCTCTCTACCAAGATCCATTCCAGCGAGTTGTGTTGGTGCCAACAGGCTTAGGTGGCTGTGCCAGGTCCCTGCACTGAACTGACTAACACACACCTGGGCTGACACATTCTCTGGCTGGTCCTAGCAATGATTAACCTTCCAGACTGTGCTCAGACACAACAGTGCCCAATAAATCATGGAATGGCTCAGGAATGTCCATCTGAGTTCCATTTGGCCTTTGCTTCCTTGAGTAACTCATCATCAGCCTTCCCATCCCAAAAGATATGTCTCAGGGCCTCAGGTTTGCACATCAAGGGCTGAACATGCAGTTCTTCTGTGCATCTGACACGACCCAAATCTCCCTTCAAAGCTGGAGACAACCCCAAGGAAAACTGGAGTGGATTAGCATTTCTAGAGGTTGATGCAGTAAGGGTGAGGATTTCAATAAAGCACCAAACCAACATCTGAGCAGAGAATCTGTTTTACAGCAGGCAGAACTCAGGGCATGAGTTCATGGGCTGGGTGCTGGTTCATTGCTTAGCATAAGGACATGAACTCAGGAGGCTTCTGAGCAGAATTGAATCAATAGACTAAATATTTCACTTACTTCCCAGCAGCGAAGGGCAGTACTTGGCCAGGTCTCTGTCTGCCCTCTCACCTCACATTAGAGCTACCAAAGTCAGCAAATCATTCATTTGACATGGTGTATATCAGATTTATGCCCAATAGCTTTGTTTTCAGGTGTTCCTCTGCTGGTGGAAGGTTTGTCAAGGATCCAATTAGCCTTGGATTCAGGCAGATCCATGTGCCCTTGGATCTGCTCTATTCCTGGGGGGCACAGAATGGTTTTGACAACTCCTTTTGAAAAGGTCTTCACACCTAATGTGATCCAAGAGAGTGGAATTCAGGAGAGCACTGTGGTTCCCACACAAGGAAGGTGCTGCAGGTTGACAAATGAAACATTAACTTGGGATTTTTCCCAATAGAAGCAAGAATCAAGGGCAGATGTGAAGTCTCTTGGGAAACAAGGTGAAAGCCTGGCCAGTAATCCCTGCTGCTCGGGCTACTCTAACAAAAACCCTCCAAAACAGAACTTCCAAGTGCCAAATAAGAGTTGGATGCATTGGCCATGCAGTGGTGAAGGCTACTAAAAGTTTTCTGTTTCAGAATAAGAGAACTCCTATAGCAAAGGGGAAGCTGAGAGAGACAGAAAGTGCCTTAACCATAAGTCTCACCCTCACGTCCTAATTCCTCCCAGCCCATAATGCTCTTTCCATTTGAGTAATGCAAGTTTTCCATTGAATTGCTGCTGTGGTCATTCGTAGAGTTTGACACCTGCTGTGCAAGGCATGGATGGGCTCAGCTCTCACACTGTCCATCTTTCCTGCTGGGACTTTACCACATGCATCACCCACAAGGTGCAGCACTTTGCAGCTTCAGCTCTCAGTCTCATTAGCTGATACTTTCAGAGGGGCTGTGTCTAGTCCCACAGCTGCTGTGGGCAGAGAAGCTTTGATTCATATGAAAAAAAAATTCGGGAAGAGACTTACCAAGGTGTGAACCCACATGTCATAGTGGCAAGGGAATCTGAGCAGCCACAGAGCAGGACTTGAGTGTCCAGAGCACTTTGACATAGGCAAAAGCATCACCTGAATGTGAAATTCTTGCAGAATTTCAAACTTATTCCCTACCCTTTCACAACAAGAACCTTTAAGAAGTTTTCCCTGTGAGGGTGGTGAGACACTGGCCCAGGTTGTCCAGGGAGGCTGTGGCTGCCCCAACCCTGGCAGTGTTCATTCCAGGTTGGATGAAACCTTGAACAATCTGCTCTGGTGGGAGGTGTCCCTGCCCAGAGCAGGGGTTGAGGCTGAATGGGGTCTAAGCTCCATTCCAACCCCTTGACACTCTATGATTCTATGTTGTTCTCCAAATTCAACCAGGGGTAAACAAGTAAAGACAAACAAGTAAAGACACACAAGTGGAAAGCAGCCAGTGCTGCCCATACATTCTCCATCCCTGGGGGCTTGAGGATCATGCCACAGCTGGGGAGCCCCGAGCAGTCAGTTCTGGGGTGCTGTGGGAGGAGATGCTTTCGGGCTGAGACGCTCCGGGCTGTGCTGAGAGGAAGCTCTGGGCCCCAGTCCTGCAGAGAAGTGCAGTGTGCCGTGACCCTGGGGAGCCATTCCCAGCACACAGGCCCAGCCATGCGAGGCTCCCTGCAGAGAAAAGCTCTGCCCCTGTCAGCTTTCCTCCTCTTCCCCCCCTGAAAGAGCAGGAAACTGCCCTTCAGGAGATGCCCATGAGAAATGCCCTCAGGTGAGGGCACAGCTGTTTGAAGGAGTTCTTGTGTCACTCTTAGGTTGGGGAGTTTGTGTTCTTTGGTGGTTTGTTTTTGTTTTCATAGCTGAGGAAAACCTATGGAACTTAGACCATTCCTTTTGAAACCTCCTATTTTCAGGGAATTGTAGAATGGTTTGAGTTGGAAGGACCTTAAAATCATCTAGTTCCACCTCCTCTCATGGGCAGGGACACGTTCCATTAGCCCAGGGTGCTCCAAGCCCCATCCAACCTGGCCTGGAACACTCCCAGGGATGGAACAGCCACAGCTTCTCTGGGCAACCTGTGCCAGTGTCTCAACACCTCATAGTGAAGAAGAATTCCTTCCCAATATCCATCTATCCCTGTCCTCTGGCAGTGAGAAACCTTCCCTCTTGTCCTGTCACACCAGGCCCTTGTCCAAAGTCCCTTTCCAACACTCTTGGTGCCTCTTAGGCCCTGGAATGCCAATGGCTCACGTGGGCACAGGAACATCCCTGTGGGCACAGGTGGTTTGAAGCAGCTGGAGCAGGAAACCTGAGGTCACAGCTGGTCACACTAACAGAAAACAGAGGTGCCCCAGAGACACCAAGAGGAGACTCACAGAGCCCCTGAGGAGTCTACATTCCACTGAAACCTCTAGAATTTGGCACCTGAAGACCTGTACTGCCCTGAGCAATGCTCCTGTGCTCACACAGGGGATGCCCAGCAGAGCAGGTAGTTGCACTCAATCTACCTGTCCCCAGTCATCACAACACCCTTTGTGTCTCCCTTCAAAGACAATGCACAGAAATCATTAATGGCATAGAAAAGAAACAACACTGGTAAGATTAACAAGATTTCCAACAGTTCAATGCTGGATAAAGGAGCTCTGACATTGCTACAGGAGGAAGATTCAGTGCTTGAGAAGCTCAGGGCACACAGAGGGACAGGCAGGTTTTGACCACAAGTTGTCTTGCCTAGAAACTATAGCAGGGAATTGCTGACATCATTTAATCTCAGTCAGACTTGTCATTCCTTTTCCCTCCCAGCACTTCACATGTCAGAGAGAAAAAGCAAAGGGAAAACACCAATTTAGCTACCAATTTCTTCCACCTAATCATCTGGTTGAAAACACCCCAAACAACCCACTCATTTGAGCTGGAAGATTAGAGTCAAGGTTTGAATGTAACCACCTTGCAGTGTGCTCCACATCTACATCCTGAGCCTGGAAGCAGCACAAGAGAAAGGGGAAAGATGTGTTGCCATAGAGCTTCCCTTGGCTGCTCAATTCTTGCCAGACAAACTGAAACAGGATTGACAGAGCACTCAGAGCTTCTTGCTACAGGGAGTTACACTACCATCTCATCTCACAGACACACATTTGAGCTTCCAACGTGCTCAGCTGAAAAGACATCAGGAGAAATGTGTAACAAAGAGATTTAACTGCAGGTGAATGGTTGGACTCAATGATCTGAGAGGTTTCCTCCAAAAATGATGATTCTCTGATTCTAACTGCTGACAAGCTCAGAAAGGCAAATGCACAATAAACCAACTCCAAGCTGTAATATAAAGGGTGAGGTTAGTTCTGTGTCAGAGAAATCAGGTGTGTTATGTCATTCCAGGGTAATGGGAAAGGCAAAGGGTGACAGCACAGTGGCCAAAATGAGCATCATCTACTGGTCCACACGGTGAGAATGAAAACCCTCCAGGGCAGCAAACACCTACCTGGGTCATGATCAGTAACCCACTGAAGCCAAGGTGGGCCCAGAGGAATGAAATTCTCTTGAAAACAAGAGAACTGATTTCCTGTCAAGTCATAACTGTATCACCCTCAAACTGCTTTGTTCCTTATCTTTTTGATTAGTCAAAAAAAAAAAAAAAAAAAAAAACCCAGAAAAGCAGCACATATCAAAAAGAAAAGGCCCAGAACTAAGGTATCTCACAGGTTTCACTTTTCAAAAGGAAAATTCTCTGGTACGTAACCACCGTAACCTTTGATATAATACCTGCATCCTGTTATTGTTTTTATGAATCATAGTCTTTCACTTGATTCATAGTGCTGAATGCCAAGCAAGCAGCAATGGTGCCCCGTGCTCAGATCCCTGCTGGAAAATCAGCATCATGCCTTGTCATCTGCCTCTCTGTGAGCTGTGCAGCTCCTCCTGAGCATCACCTCCCCAGCTACTCCACGCCGAGTTATCCGGGACAACCTCCAGCTGGGAGCAGAGTTAGGGAAAAAAAACAAAGCAGAACTCACTTACATTTTTGCCAGTGCATATTCTGTGGCAGGATGGAGCCTGTTTTTCTCCTGGCTGAAGAGAACTTGGCTGTGTGATAGCTACTTGGGTTGGAGTCCTTGTGGGGGATGAGATCAGTGAGTGTCAGGATGTTTCTTTCAGCTTTTTAAAAGCCTCCTGTTCCCGCTGAAGCCTCTGATGTCATCACATCCTCCCAACCACAACCACTTCGAGATTTTCCCTTGCTCTCTGCACTCCTTCATGATGCTCAGCAGTTCCTCCAAGAGCACTGAGCTCTGGAAGATATTATGCATTAAAAAAAAAAAGATGTCACCAAGGTGTATCTGAGCAAACAATCCTAGGTGGAATCTGTCACTCATGGGGCTCTTAGCACAGATCTGCACAAATAGTTCAGCAGAATGGGCAGAACAAAGGGTTTTTTCGTCAGATTTTGACTTTCTGGGGCACTAAGATGGGTTTGTTTCAGGTAAGAAACAAGGGAGGTGGTGGAGTCATCAGCCCTGGAAGGGTTTAAGAGGCATCTGGATTTGACACTGGAGGAGATGGTTTAGGGTTTAGGGGTTACAGCAGTTAATGGTTAACAGGTTAACAGGTTAATGGTTGGACTTGATCTTTGAGATCTCCTCCAACCTTGATGACTCTATGATTCTAAGACAACATTCTGCTGCTTGAGGTGGTGTAACTCTTGTCTCTGCACACTTCAGCTGCACCAAACCAGCCCCAAGCCGTGTCTGTGTAGCCCTTTAAAAATGTGCAACCCTTCTAAAACACAAAACTTGAGTCTTTGCTCCTGCCTTATGAGAATCTCAACTCCCCAGGGCCACTAAATTTGAACTTGTGAGGAAACACCTGTAAACACTTCAAGCCTCATTAAGCCAGGACGTCCTTCATTTAAAAAAGAAACCCCTTTTTTTCTGTTTTGTTTTTATCAAAATACAACACTTCCCACTAAAGAAGAAACAGCCCTGCCAAAATAGCCTGCAAAGCTGAAGGAAGGCCCAGAGAGACTTACCAGAACGAGGTTTTTGGCATTAATAACAGCACCAGTATGTCTTATCTAGCTACAGGAATATAACCTCTTAGAGCTCTTCAGTCTTTCCTCTACAAATCAGATCAACGTGATGAATACTCACAAATAACACTGAATTAGGAGCTTCATTCCCTGAGAAATCTGTTGGAGGTTGCACAGTGAGTTTATCTTCAGGGTGAGTTTTTAATCACTGACTTGTCGTGGCCCCAAAATCGTCTCTTCCAATTTCTCTGTCCATAAAAGAACAAGGATCTGGTGAGTTCTTTGGGTTAGAAGTATGTTAAAGAAATTTTATCCTCTCAGGTCTGCCAAGCACCTCTTGGAACAGGTTCATTTTGTGAAGCATCTGCTCCCAGCAGTGACAGGGGAATGGTTGGACTTGATGGTCTTAGAGGTCTCCTCCAGCCCTGAGAAATCTATGATTTTGCAACATACCATCAACACTGCGTTTAATGGGAAACCAGAGATTAATCAAGTGAAGATGAATGATCAATTGTACTCCCTCTAGAGCAAAGATTTGCCCAAAGTACCCCAAAAAAGAAACCAACCCCAGAGCAATCGGAGTGGGAAGCCAAAGGGCTGAGTCCCTCCACAGTGCTCCCATCCAGGCCAGCCCCAACCTCCCCAGTTCTCGGGCACCAGGGCATTGTTCAGCCACATTTTGCATATCTGCATGACTGCTGACTCCCAGCCCCAGGGCAGAACATCCTCTCTGCTGCTGAAGTGCTTAGTAATCGCAGGGAACCTCTTAGCTAACAGCACACAGGAGATCAGGTAAGCCAGAGTGTAGCTCACAGCCCACTGAAGCCAGAAGAGTGTTGAAACTGGTTTCAGGGGCACTTCAGTTACACCAGAGCAGGAAGAAATTGTGGCCTCTCCTATCTGTGCTACAAAACCAATATCATATTTCTCCCTAAACTAATGGAACTTGGGTTTAGAAACCTCTTAAATGTGTAGAATTAAGATAATACATCAGCAAATCTCTTCCTGACAAATTCAACTCTAGAGCCAAGGCCCAATTAGACTCTTAGATTTGCTTAAAGCTCAGAGCACAAGGCAATGTCAGGAAATATGGGAGGAAGTTATTGGAGTTTGGCTTGAGTCAGAGCATAAGGCAATGCCAGAGAAGGGTTAGGAGTGTTCTCTGCTGCAGTTTCCTTCTGGAAAGCCCTGGATTGTGGCAGCACAGAGCTCCTGGGATGCAACATGGGAAATCAAGGCTTTAGGCAGGTTCCTGGCAGCAATAAGCCCTGATTTTTATGTCTGAGAACACACTCTGTGTACATTTGGGCTGTGCAGAAGCACAGACTGAGATTTGTACACACAGCTCTGAAGTACAAGTGAAGACAAATTGCATAACCCACCAAAGTAAATACACAGCCTCATATTAAAGGCTTCTATACATGTTTATCACCTCACCCCTAACTGCACATGAATTGGCCTTAGGAAAGCTGTGGCTAACATAAAATAACATCTCACCTTTATGTAGACTCTAAATGACCTTAGAAAAGCTATGGATAACACGAAATGACTCAGGATTAAACTATTTTAAGGCCTTTCCATCAATACTTTCAAAACATGAAGTCAAGCAGCTCAAGTCTTGTTGTCATAAACACCTAAAATGAGGAAGTTGCAAGAAAGGGACATGTTTTCCTCAGATGAGCCACCAGCACTGTGCTGGTGGCTGATGCCCCTCCATCCCCATGTTTTACACTCAGCTACTACATAAACTTTTGATATATTAACAAAGAATATCCACAAAGTCACTCGAGTTCTACATTAAGACATAAAGGGCCATGTGTGTGTGGTTTGCTGACTCCACACCAAGTGAAAGGAAAGCTCTTCCAGACAGAAGGTTTTACTCATTTCATGCATCTTATAGGCAAATGCAACTTGGTTCAGGACCATTAGTTAATGAGGTACAAAGGAAGAGACAAAAGCAGAGAGAAAGGTGAAAACCATCACTTTGCAACAATCATATTTGCCTCTTACTCTGACAGCTGTTTGCAAGTCATGATTTGTTTATAAACTTGAGGATGGATGAACTTGAAGCCTATAAATATGGCTAGAGATGGAAAGATGGCTCAAAGCTGGTGTAGCCAAGTCCATCCTTTCCTCCCCTAGTGCCCCAAACTGCCTCTATCTCCCACCTCCCCAGCAGAGGATTCACCAAAACTCACTGCAGGTGGCAGAGAGTCAAACAACCTCTAAAACCCTCTTGTCATGGGTTCCCTCAGCACAGAAATGCAAGATAAAGTGAGTGATAGTTTATCTCAAGCTCTAAGCAAACACTGCTGGATTTATACTCTGAGCCTGACACTGCTGTCAAGGGGAAGTAAAACCAAGAGCTGTCCCTGCTCTGCCTCACAGCAACAACTTTATGGGATAGATTCTCCTTGTCCATCTGCACCTGAGCTTTGACTCACTCCTCCCTCATCAATTTGATGTCTTCCAAGCTCACCTCCAGGGAATAAGTTCTTCTCTCCAAGTGGCTGGATGCTGCTGACAGATGTCCTGGGGGTTGGGTTTGCTGGTGCTGAGGTCTGTGAGGTTTCTGGGTTTGTTTTTAAAAGTGTCAATATTAGCACTTGAGTCCTGCCAGACACCATAAGGAGTAGGAAGATACAAGTAGTAGGTTGAGATTAGAGAAAACTTTGTGGTCTGCAAACACAAACATTTATCTTTGGGAGTACAATAAGTAAACGAATAAATGGATCTCTGCCTTGGAGGTTTGAATGAGAGTTTGGAAGGCAACAATGCTGAGAAAAGGTTCTCAGACTGCTTTCCTAACCAAGGGAGAATAGAGGAAATGAGAAGTTGAGCCTTGATGGGGCAACAAGGTCTGACATTTGACTGGGAAAGGTTTGCTATTTCAGATTACAGAGTCTCTAAGTGATGTCTTTACTTTGTAGCTTGACATTGCATGTGAAAACACCGTGAGAAATGATCCAGAACCAAAGCTCAGAGTGTCCTACACGAGGCCTGGAGTCATTGCAGCCAGGTTGGGTAAATCACATCCCACTGTACCCCAGGAGCTCCTGGACAGAGCCAAAAGGACATCAGACATCTCCAGAGGTTTGAGTCACCCAAATCCCAACCACCTTCTGGAGGTGCTTTAGGTGTGTTAGTACAACAGAGAGCAGGACTACAATGAGCACTACAACTACTACTAATTCTGCTAGTTTGATTAGATGATTAGACATCAAAATGGCTTTGCCAAGGTCCCACAAGAAATCTGCAGTAGGGCTGGGAACAGAGGCCAAAATTTTGGGGACAACCCTGTGTACAAAATTGCAGCTTATCATGTGCTTCCTGAGGAGTGGATCATCTTCGGCTTTAATCGCCTCAGTGACACTGAAACAAGCTCAGTATAATAAATTCAGTGAGGTTTTGTTTCTTCTTTCTGTCTTAATTTTGATGTGAGCCTCACACCTCCCACCTCACCCTCTGAAACAAGCTCTGATTCATACCTCAGCTTTGATAAGGAACAAATGATGAAGCTTTCGGATGTGCTCAGCGCTAGAGATGAAGTCCCTGGGCAGTGTAAATAAGCAAAGTCCTCATCATGACTCCTTTCTGGAGACATTCCAAGCCCACCTGGACACATTCCTGTGTCACCTGCTCTAGGTGACCCTGCCTGGACAGGGAGGTTGGATAGATGATCTCCAGAGGTTCCTTCCAACCCCAACTACTCTGTGATGCTGAGAGCTGACCTTGGCAATAGGACCAGGACCAGTGATGATCCCACGAACTCAGGATTCTGTGCTTGCCTGCAAAGCCACCCTGGAAGCACAGACACCTTCCCTCATCACCAATGGACACTGAAATCCTTCTCACTGCATCTTCCTTGGCATTAGGTCTTCAGACTGTGCCTGTGCACCTTGCAAGCCTCCTCTGACTGCTGTGCTGACAGACAATTTGGGGTGAGCTGGTGCTGGGGGCAGTGGCACAGCCTCTCCCCTTCCACACCTCCCAGAGAGGCTGCTAAA